TCCTGCCGGGCCCTGGTGCAGGGCATTAGGGAGATGGTCCCCTTGTCCCGCCACTGGTCATCTCTCCATCCATCTCTCCATGCATGCATTCATTCATCCCTCCCTCCCTTGTTTTCTATGCTGCCTATCCATCTCCAAGCCATCTCCCCATCCCTACAGCCACCTTGCAATCTGCCAAATCAGCCACCCATCTGTTTCTCCACCATCCATCCATTCATCATCCATCCATCCATCCATCATTCCTTCCATCCATCCATCCATCCATCCCCCTGGCCTTCTGCACACCCACCCATCCATCTACTCACCTCAAATTTGTCCCTCCATCTCTCCATCCACTGTCCTATCTCCATCCATCCATTCCAAATCCATCCCTCCTTCCCTTCCTCCATCTGCTTACCCCAAATCACTCCACCCCTCTGTCCACTCACCCCTCCTTCCAGCTCTCCCTCCCCAAGTACTTCCTGCTCCCTGCCCATCCCCAGGTGCTGCTCCCCTGGGTCAGAGTGGGACATCATTGGGGGTTCCAAGAGAAACCATGTGGCAGGTGGAGGTGGGGGGTCCCACTGTGGGATGGTGGGTGGTGGAAGCGGGGATCCCTGCCCAACCTGCTGAGCTCCTCCTGCAATCGTGCCAACTCCTGTTGCTGGGCTTGGAGCTGCTGCCGGCTCTGCCAGGTTTCCTCCCGTGCTGCAGCAGCCAGGCTGGCCAAACGCTGTGGGAGAGTGGTGGCTTAAATCTGGACCCCAAATTCCCACCCCACCAAGGGATTCTCTCGGGCTTGTCCATACCATAGCCATGCTGACAGCTGTGCTGGGCTCCTCCTCTGCCTGAGGGTCCAGCAGGGGCTCCTGGGGACCATGGGCAAGCTGCAGTGCCTGCCGCAGCACCTCCTCCACGGCGGCCACCTCATTTGGAGAACCAGCATCCTCCAGCATGTTTGTCTGTCCTGCTGCCACCAGCGCTGCCTGGCACTCCTGCAGGCGTGAGGCCAGGGCCGTTGCCTCTGCCAGCACCTCAGCCAGCTGGGTGCCCCGCTCCTCCGCCACCTCTTGCCAGCCTCGTGCCTCCTCCTGCGCCTGCGCCAGTGCCCCCAGGTCCCCTACTGCCACTGCGGCCTCCAGTGCCCGCTCCAGGAAGGCATTGGTCTCCCTCAGTGCCTCGGCCTCACGTGCCTGCAGCCAAGCCTGCAGGGCACTGCTGTCCCGCTGCTGGTGTCGCAGTTCTGCCTGCGCCAGCTGTGCCACCAGCTCCTGTGCTGCCACCTTCCGCTGACCCACCTCAGCCTGCAGTTGGGACACCGGTGCCCACAGGGAAGCCTCTGTCCCACCCAGCTGCTCAGACACCAGTGATGGGGAGCCCAGTGTACACCTCATGCCAGGCAGTGGGGACATGCCAGGCTCCCCAGCACCATCAAACTGGAGTGCTTTGCCAGTGCCATGCATGTCCTCCAGTTCCTCTACATCCACATGTTGCATCTCCTTCTCATCCTCTGCCAACTCTTCATCCTTCTCTTCCAAATCCTCCTCCACATCCACTTTCACCTCATCCACTTCCTCCGCATCCTCATCCTTCTCCACCTCCTCTTCATCTTTCTCTTCCATGTCCTTCTTTGCATCTGCATCTCCCTCCATATCCTTCACCTCTTCACCCCCCATCTGCAGGGCAGCCAAAGTGGGTGGACAAGGGTGGGCTGGTGTCCTATGGGGTGCCACGGTGGGATGGGCAATGCTATTGGGCCATCCACGTGCCTCAGTGCCAGTATTGTTTATCTGCAAGGCTGTCTTTGCTGGGCTGCTCTTGGTCACTGGGCTGGGCCGTACCAGTGTCCTAGAGGGGATACAGGACTCAGGGCCACCAGGTCACCCACCAGGTGGGCAGGGTGCCACCACCCTCCCTCTGGGCTCCCTGGACACAGCCAGCCTTTGGGAATGTAGAGGGCAGCAGGGATAGTGACACTGGGTGGCACCTGGTGGCAGGGAACCAAGGATGATGGTGCCACAAGCCTAAGAACCCACAGAGAATGTGGCACCCAGAGACCCCTGTGGTGGCTGCAGGGGAGCATTGGAGTCTGCAAGTGTGCTTGTGGCAGTGCACACAACTGTGTGAGCAGCAGAACAAGTGCAAGTGTGTGCGCATGAGTGTTCCCCTGCAAGTGTGTCCAAGAGCAAGGATGTGCAAGCACACACATATGCCCCCTTGTCTCAGATGTCACAGTGTTCCAGCAGACCTGTGCCTGGGATGTACTTGGCAGAGGATGGCTGTATGTGTGTACACATGTGCGTGGCATGTTTGCAGGCACAGGCATGGTGTGCATGCTGGTGCTGGTGTCTGTGCCCTCCTGGGACCACACATGGAGAGCTGGCACAGCTGGAATGCCACATGGGGTCCAGGGCAGTGGGGCAATGCCCATATGCTGCTCTGTGAAGCTGATCCCCAGGGGCCCCTGATGCCCCTGACACCCCTGGTGCCACCAATGCCCCTGGTGTCCCCACGGCCCCAGGCTCACTCAGAGAACATGGGCCAGGCGGTGTCCAGGTCATCTCTGCGCAGAGCCAGGTGGAAGGTGACACAGTCCAGCTCATAGAGGCTGCCCAGGATCTCTGCTCGGCGTTGGGGGCTCAGGAAGGGGCTGCGGGCGTAGTACCACTCGCTGCAACCACAAAACAGGCTTATACACCCTTGCTGACCAGGTGCTGCAGGGCACAGCCCATGCTGGCTGTGTCCCCCACCACCAAGAGCATCCCCTTGATGTGCTCCTGCTCTCACCGGAGGCTTTCAGCATCAAGGAGGCAGAGCTGCAGAGATTCACCGCCTGCCGCCAGGCAGTACCGCAGGAAGGC